TACAGCTCACTGAGTGTTATTCTCCTTTCCTCTTCATGAGCTACTCAAAATATAATGACTAATGTCTTTGTAAATACTTTTCCCTAAAGTGTCTCAAATTTGAGTTGTGAGAACCAACAGTTCTAAATGTCACAGTAAAGTATGTAAATGTGTAGCTGATACATCAATATTTTCTCCTTTTATACTTACTGTATTCCTTGTTCCGTGAAAGGCAACGGACCACAAATACAAACAAGCATCTTAGAATTGTCTTTACTTCTTTTCACAAACTGAGAGACAAGAGGGAAAGAAATTTTCCCTTGTTTCCCTGTCCATCCTTTGTTTGGCTCAGACAGAACAAACTGAACATCAAATCTAGAAAAAAGAGAAGTGCAACAGAGATATTTAACATGCATGAGCGTCAGCTTTGTACAGATATCAAGTCATGCAAGAGCCACCGAAGAAACTTGGGCTAGAATTCTCATACTAATTTTTGTACACTTGTGTAATATTTCAATATTATGTTTTATTGACCTTGTGAGGGCCATTCTTGATCATGCGTGGGGGGCTCAACCTAGCTATATTTCATGTAACTGAGTACTGGAACAGCAAAACAATAAACTTGGTTCTGAGATGTCCTTAGCATTATATATTCAGATACACACTCTACAGAGAAGTCTTGGGAACAGAACCAATAATTTTTATGTGGAGGAGAACAAGTACCCATTTGGCACCCTCGCCACCCCTACACCTTCAAGTACCACCTGGCCCAATATGTTTATTATGTTTATTAATACCTTGCCTTTTCATCATTATGGAACAAAAGACTGCAGACTCAAGAGGACTCTCATCCATCCAATCCATCTCTCTTCCATCCAACCACTGACCAGGATCAAACTGCTCATATTCAGCAAGGTGTCCTCCAGCCATATTCTGGGTCATAACCATGTCTGCCATTTTTCTTGGGCAAGGAGAGATAACAGTGCCAACAGGGCTTTTGTGCACAGTTCAACCATCCCTTGGTGGAAAGCAGGAGTAGACTGTCTCTTGTTCCATTCAAAAGAGCTGACAACATGAACCAGTCATCAGTTTTCCTCAGCAATGTTACAGCCATTGCAGCAGTGTTTCGAATTATCCTGATACAATGAGGTTTAGGCCAGTGACTCTCAAGGTCCCAGAATATCAGAGATTTTAAACAGAAGGACATCGGAGAGAAAGAAATTAACCCTCAGACTGTTAATCATAATTCAATTTGAAACTCAGCTATAATGGCTTTGTGTTTTTCCTTATCACTAGTTTTAGAGAGATGACAAAATTTACAAGCAGCTCCAAACAATAACATACTCAAGGAGTTGATCAGAAAACAAACACAGGTACAATTCCCACATTCCCTGTCAAAAGTCAATGGGAAACATAGATCTATCCATGTGTTTTGCCATTACAGTTGCAAAGCAAGTCAATTTTCCCCCAGTACATAATTAATGTGGCAAATAAGCTACCAAAACCCCCCAACCACTTTTTGCACAGTTCACAATAGTAACCTGTTTTGATAAAGCTGTGCTATAACACTAGTTGAGCAGAGCTGAGCAATTCACTTCAACAAAAAGAATAATTCTAACACAAAAGCTTCAACATGTGAAAGTACTGTCCTATTACTAATTCATAATGCAGCATGGAAGTTCAAAATGGGGGGGCATGCCTCCTACATGAAGGTAAAAATTGGAAAAAAGCACTGAAAGGGAAAAATAAAAGAACAAGCAGCCCTCTGGCTGTGTAGGTCCCATCATTGTGCTGCCAGATAAAGCTTAACCTAATTTAGAAGACTACTGTGTAACAGATAAATAACAGGAATTGTGCTCTAGAACCATAAGGTAACATTAATTAAAACTTTTATAGTTTATTCCCTACCACATCAGTGACTCTTCATGCACAGATTCCCAATTCTGTGTAGGATATGCCTTGTTCAAAGCTCACTAGTCTAGTCCAGTATATGTCTGTTCCAAGGCAGCACCATCAGATAGGAGGTGTATTTTCAGTGCCTATATATGTATTTACAGGCCAGGCTCACCCGCTAGGCGAACTAGGCATTGGCCTAGAGTCCGGCCCGGCCCGAGGGACGCCAAACAGGACCCAGCCCCCCCACACCAAAGCCCCCCAGCACCTGCCAAAAGCCTAGTGGCTTCCCTGACCGCCAGAAGAAGCCCTGCTTTCTGACTTCCCGGCAGCCCACCTCAGCGCCCCTCTGGTCCCGCCCCTACCAAAAGCCCACATGCCAGCGCGCTGCCCAGAAAAAGATCTGCTTTCCTCCCTCCCGGCAGCCCGCCTCGCACACGCCTCAGCGCCCCTCTGGCCCCACCCCCGCCAAAAGCCCCAGCGCGCCGCCCAGAAGAAGCCCTGCTTCCCGCTGGCCTGCCCTGCACCTCAGCGCCCCTCAGCTGAAGAAGCTGACTCAGCTGAGTCAGCGCCTGGGGCTGGGCGCCAGCAAACAAGTGTGGCCAGCGGCAAGTGCCAGCAAGTGTGCACCCACGCCGGGCCCTGGAAGAAGCACTGCCTACCGCCTTCCTCCAGAGACTGCCGGCGGGCCCGCTTCGCACCTTCCCTCATCGCAACTAGTGAAGTGCTCGGGGAAACCAGCTGGTAAGTTTCGGGGGGGGGGGGGGTGGTGGCAAGGGGGGCATGGTTAAAAGCCATTTAAAATTAGGACTGCCAACCTTCAGGCAGGGTCTGGAGACTCCTGGAACTGCTCTCTAGGCAGAAAATCAGTTCTCTGAACTTCCCCTGGCTCTTGGGATCAGTTCCCCTTGGAGAAAATGGCTGCTTTGGAGGGTGGACTCCCAAGTGATTATACCCTCCTGGGGTCCCTCCCCAGGTTCCCCAGGCATTTCCCAACCTGGAGCTGGTAACCCTGGCTAGAACAAAGGCTGCAACGTTTCTCCGGATGTGTGTGGCATAGGCCACTTTGAGGATTGGGGTTGCCACATCCAGTCTGGAAAACTCCTGGAGATTTGGGGAGTGGAGCCTGGGGAGGACAGGGACCTCAGTGGGGCACAATGCCATAGAGCCTACCCTCTTCTTTATTGTGTTTGCATGGTTTTATTTCCTAGTAGATTGGTGGAATATGGCAATGATTAGGAATTGTGTTTGCATGGTTTTATTTGTGTGCTATTCCCAGGTCTAATCACTGGCATCTCCAGGTAAAAGGATCAGGTAGTCAAAGCTTTGCAACTTGAGTAACCCTGGCTAGAACAAAGGCTGCAACGTTTCTCTGGATGTGTGTGGGCACAGGCCACTTTGAGGGTTGGGGTTGCCACATCCAGTCTGGAAAACTCTTGGAGATTTGGGGAGTGGAGCCTAGGGAGGACAGGGACCTCAGTGGGGCACAATGCCATAGAGCCTACCCTTCTTTATTGTGTTTGCATGGTAAAAGGATCAGGTAGTCAAAGCTTTGCAACTTGAGTAGAATTTACTTCCTTTCTGTATTATTTCGTCTGTGTGCTGTTGGGTTCCCAGCCGGGCAGGCAAAGCAAAGCGTCAAGGTTACTTGCTTGAGCTAAAAGATAACAGAGCAAGCGAGAAGCGAAACCCAAAATTCCAGAGACATGAAGGAGCTTGCTTTTTCAGGGCAGGCAAATGTATTGGGGTGGAAAACTTATGTCTCCTCTTTGTACATGCCGTGGTTAAAAGAGATGCAAAGAGATATTAGGTTTACAAGCGGCCTCCCCCAGGGAAGACTGTATTCCCTGCCCTTCACTTTGAGACTCAGAGCAGCTTACAATCCAGCTGGGACAGAGAGGCCTCTGAGAGAACTGCTCTGAAAGAACTGTGACTGGCCCAAGGCCACCCAGTTATCATCTTTCCAGAGACACGAAGGAAGCATCCTTAAGTCTCATCCCCCCCCCCGCTTTTCAATGGAGCACAGAGAAACTCAATGGAGCTTGTTTTTTCAGGGCAGGCAAATGTATCGGGGTGGAAGACAAGTGATATTGCTCCTACAGCAAGTGGTGTTACTGCTGAGGAACAAGTCTCACAATCTGGAGATATTCCAATGGAACCTGATGAAACCACTGAGGAAGCTCCTTCAACAAGTGGTGTTGCTCCTACGGCTGAAGAAAAAGTCTCACAATCTGGAGATCTTCCAATGGAACATGATGATACCATTGAGGAAGCTCCTTCTATCAGTGATGTTGCTCCTGCTGTTATTACTACAGCAGCAGTTGGTATTGTGCCTGACTTGAATTACAGTGACCCTACTAACTGGTCAACTTCTTGCAGTGATACTTTAAGACAGCTTATAGTTGAACAAGGACCACAGCAGGTTGTATCATATGATTTCCCAAAAGACTCCAGAAAAAGAAGATTCTCTCCTGTCCACTACAAGAGGAGACTGCCAAACGATGAAGAAGTGAGCCGTCAATGGCTGATCTATTCCACCACCAAAAATGTGGTTTTTTGTTTTTGCTGTAGGCTGTTCAGCAAAAGAAATGGTGGTGTAATAACTCTACAAGACCCAGGTTCAAAAGACTGGAAGAACATTGGAGCAATTCTGGCCTCACATGAGATGAGTTCTTTCCATTTAGACAACCACCATGCCTGGAAAGAACTTGAAGTGCGCTTACGGAAAGGACAAACAATTGATAATATCAACGAGCAGAAAATCAGGGAAGAAGAGCAATATTGGCAACAGGTCTTGGAACGCTTGATTGCAATGGTCAGATTTCTTGGCATGCAAAACTCCGTTATGGAAGCAGCTCTAGTTAATGCATGTTGGTTAAACAGGATTATAAGGCCTGAAACTTCTGTTCATCATACATACATGCATTTATACCACTACTCTGTAATTTGGTGCAAAGAATCTAGCTGGACAGGACCAAATGTCATAAAAATCTTATGTAAAATTGCTGGGTTACTGCTCAGTATGCCTTGAACTTGAGCAGAGAAAGTCTGCGATGGATTTCTTGCACAAGCAACATGTATTACAAAATCTTCTGTTGGTTAAAATTGTGTCAAAAACTTAAAGATATTCTAGGGGTTTTTCCTGAACGGATTTTACTCTTGCAACAATCACATACTTCCTTCTGATAACTTATACACTGGTGGAAGTAAACAGCAGAGGTGTGTGTGCCCCATCTCTTGAACTATTTCCCCCTGCTAAGGGAGACTTTTGTTGGAAGGCAGGAGATAGATCAGTCATTGTTCTTCCTCAAATACCCTCATCCACCCTCTGCCTCGTTACCTAAAACTTAGAGGTGGATTAGATAGTTTTGTCCTGTGCGAGATGTCTCTGTGAGTATCCCAGTCTTTGCCCATCAAAAACATGTTCTTCTGCCAATCAAGAACTTGTTCTTGTTCTGTACATTACCTTGTGTCATTAACAGCTAACTGTTCCAACTGACTTCTCCAGAGTATATCATCTTCTGTTTTGTTGAAAAACATCAGCTTTGCTGTCCTTAAAAAAGATATTATAGCTTCAACATTTAAATATTTAATCATAACCTATTAATACTTCACAAGCAGAACACACCGAGTAATACAATATCTTAAGATCCACAGTCTTCTCAGTTCTCATCTATTTTGCTATAGTCCCTTTTCACCCCTCTCCCGCCACCTCTCACTCCATCCTTCTATCCCTGCCAAGTTTCTTCAATATCAGAAGAAAAAGAACATTTCAAAATGGGGCCAATGTAGTCATCTTTCCCAGAGTTGGAAATGGCTACAGCAGGAGGGAAAAAGTGAGCATGAACCATGGTCCTTGTGCTGGATCCAACGCAATAAAAATATGCAATTTTGTGAGATGTTTTGTCTTGCTTTCACTTTAGGGAAGCTGAAGCAATTCTGTCTGCTTGGTGAATCATCATTAACAAGTAAAAAAAACAAAGAGGGGGAGGGAATGACTGTGTGTCCTGAGAGAGCATCATGGCTAGCCGAATGCATATGGAGTGGCTAGGTTTTCCTGTTGGCCTGTACAACTATCTCTATATGCAGGAGTCCAAGAGGGATAGTGCTACTAGATAAATTGCTATTTCAGATATGTCAACTAGCCCACAGTTAGTTTAAATTCCAATTAACAATACAGATATATGCCGAAGTTTACATACAATCAATAAAATCATGATTGGAGGGGTAATCTGTATTCTGACACCAAAGTAAGCCAGAGTTTAACCAAACTGTGGTTTATATAAAGCATACTGAGCCAATTCTTATGACTGTGCCACTGTAGTACAGACATCTTTAAACTTCTTTAGATTGAACCCTGTGCTGGACACAACATTCCCCAAACATAAGCAAGCAAGAAATCTTTGCAAAAGAAATCTTTGGCCCCCTTAGCCTTTGGGTTACTTTCAGGGAATTCTGATGTTCATTGTTGTCCAAACCCACCCATACAACACATATTGAGCTATCTCTGCAAAACACCACTTTGCTATCGGAGGAATATCTGCCTGGTGTTTTGAAATTATTTATGTCACCAGACAAGTTCAGAACAAGAACTACTTAACCAATATGACATAATTAAATGTAACAGCTAGACTGTCATAATAAAGAAGAGTGTACTGTTTAAGGTTAATGGGATCAGATTATCTCTTTAGTACACGTACAGGATTTTTACGCTCAGTTAGAAAAAGACTTCTAGCATAATGTAATTTAACTGCTCTCTCCTTATCCCTCATGGTCTAGTGACATTGTAGCATTAGGAATAATGTCATAGATTAAATAGGTCTCTCAAAGAGATCTAATGTTTATTCATCTGAACACAGTGCTGGAGTGAGGATCAAAAAAATCCATGCAATGGAGCCATGTGAAGATAAACTCAAGGGAATTTCCAGGTGCACAAAAATAAAAAGGGTGAGCGCTGAGAATTAAGAAAAAGGTAGTAAAAGAAAATATGAATTTTTAAGTATGGTTAAAAAAGAAGGGAAAGAATAAAAAAATGAGATATGGTGGGGGTGGAAGCGCTGCGGGAAGCCTGAAGCAGGGGAGGGAGGGAGATTTAGAAAAGGGATGTATTTAAAAAGGTGAAATGGTGTAATATTGGACATGTTGTTATATCCTGACAATAAAAATTGTGTTTAAAAATAAAATAAAATAAAAAGGGTGAGCAGGCTGGTCCACTTGCTCCCATTCAATGTGCAGCCTGGTGAGGGGAGAAATGAAGGGGGGGCTGTGGGGGTAGAACTGTCCTCACCAACACCACCTCCCCACAGATTTATTCTTTCCAGCTGCCTTGCAAAGTTAGAGGACCAGGATTGCTTCACTGAGCACTCCAACCCCTGAAGATGACTGCAAAGGTGGAAACAAATCCATCTGTGTAGTCATCCTTGGGAAAGTTGAAATGTTCCACAGCATTTTGCTGTGGGTCCCCACTTGTCAAATATCATTATGGTGCAAAATGCTCCCTTGGAAATAATTCTGAATGCGACTTATAGCTTTTTCTAGCTCTTATTATTTTTCTAACACAATAACCACACTGTGACATGTCCAAGTAGAATGACAATACACTTAGTGAACCACTACAGGAAAGCTGATTTTTCTTGAAAAGTTAGCATTGAATTCCTTCAAAATTACATTCAAGAGATGTCTTCTGTAGAAATACTAACAAGCACGATTATGGCTAACTATCAGAACCTTTTAATTCAATTTTTTGTAAATTTAAAACTTTGAAAAATGCATAGAAATATTATTTAATGGTAGGATACTTAAACTGCTAGTTGAAACTTAGGGTACAATCATGATCAAGGGACTAGACGAGAGGCAAAGTACAGGATCTCATGTTCTCTCCCTTCTTCCTCTACCCTGGTTCAGTGTTGTTCCTGGCTGTGATGTACAGGAGTCTGTCCAGCCCCTAGCTATCGAACAAGAATTTCAACCAGTTCAAAGACTGGAAATAAATCACAATTACTGTTCTCTTATAATTCTGCCTCAAGAGTCTGAGTGTCCTTAAACAACCATAAAACTGATCTCACAACAGTGTATCCGCAAGTCAACAACCATCAAAATACATTACCCTAGAATATCCCAGAGGAAGGGAAGGGGAAAGTTTATTATAACACACTTAGTTCCTACGAAATTGTGCACGCTCCCCCATGGAGCCCATAGGCAATGGGCTCCTAGCCAGGGGGCTTTGGAGAGCCCTACCTCCGGCCGTCAGCCGGTACAGGGGGGCTACTCTCTGCCCCAAAGGTCCTGCTCTGATTCCCAGTATTGGATTCGAAGTGGCCACCGGGACAAGCGCTTGGAGGTTTAGCTATTCTCTCTGCCTCGCGTGATCCCAGGGGCCGTCTCAGGACCTGGTGGATCGATTCAAGGACTGATGAGTGAGTTTTCGTTGAAACGAGACACCAAAGCCTAGTTGTGAAGTCCCCCTACTATAAACGGAGGGGGGGAGGGGACGCCCTATCTCCTGACGTTTTAAGCGAATGCGAAAGCATGATTGGAGGGACTGATCAAATTGTGGCGATGGACTGTAGCAGAGAGTTTTGTCTGAAAGAAAGTTGAGCGTTTAAACAGACCTTAGAGACTTTGGCATTCTTTCTTGGCTAATGTAAACATCCCCAAAAGATGGCAATGAGAGGCGAAGAGGGAGGCGGGACTAATGTTTTCTTCAGGAAGGTGAACAGTGGAAAGCTAGGTCATGTGACCTGACCATAGACTCTGTCCTTAAAGTGAATCACGGGCCCTCTGGTGGCTAAAGTGGAGTAGCGACCTGGATCTGTACTAAAAAAGCGGCTATATTTTTAAAGGGACAGTATTTGGTGCGTACTTTGATCATAGAGACTTATGAATGGTAAGGAGATTCTAAAGTTTAGTTTACTTGCAGTTCGATTGGCAAGCGGATCGAAAAGTGGTTTTTTGGAGTAAAGGGCTCGCTACCCCAACTTCATAAGATCTGTTTGCTAACAGAAAGGTTAGATTCTCCAATGAGCGTGTTTTTAATGCAATAAAAGGAAGGACTCTTTTGATTCAAGATGTTTAAGGAAGCGAAGATGTTCCTGGAAAAAGGAATTTGGTTTATATTATGAATGGACAGATCCGGACTTATAAAAGCTAAAAGTTAATTGGAAAAAGAAGATACATCTAAGA